AGGAAGGAAGGAAGGAAGGAAGGAAGGAAGGAAGGAAGGAAGGAAGGGTAGGAGGGAGGGAGGGAGGGAAAGAAGGAGGGCGGAAAACTTTTCTAAGCAATGTTTTGTATATAAGCCATTCATTTTAACAAAAGAGCTGAAAGACCACCAGGCATGTTGGTCAGATCAGTATAATAAAAAGAAAGGAAATAATTCCCCCTAATTCTTTTTCTGCAAGACTTTTCTGGAGAGTGTTTCCTTTCCACATATAGGTGACCAAAAATAATTTTATTGCTTGATTTGTATTATTTGACTATTCTGTCTCAAATACTTTGCCCTTTGATTTATGGTTCCTGTTAGTAGAGAATGAACACAATGCCTCAGTCTCCTCATTTGCAAAATAAAAGGATTATATTAGATGATCTTCCAGTTCTAAATCTATGGCCTGTGTCTGTAAGGAGGTTGAGCCATATTTATATAACCATAATTACCCCCAATAGCCTACATTGAACCTGGGGTAGTAAGGGATTCCACAGTCATGTAGGGCTCATGCTATATAAAATAAGTTATTTTTTCCATATGGAATAATTTAATTTTTTATGTTATTGGGAAACTTCCGAATGCCACTTAAGGTTTCTTAAGCCTTACAAGGCATTTGCAATCAATCCTTTAATAACTGGAAAAGAAACTTGTGGAAAGAAAATAATTTTTCTCTTGTTTACTGAATGACATTTACATTAAAAAAATTGTATACTGGGTAAAACCCAGTCTTATGTGTATTATGTAATGAAAGCCCAGGATTGATTGCCTTTACTTTCTGAAGAATGGTGGTAAGACACATGTATTTTATATAGATCTCTTCACTACTTGAAAAAGAATGAACTTATTTAGAAAATACCTTTTGTTTGAGGGCTGTTGCACAATCACAGTGATTACAAGTTCACCCAGATTACTCAAAATACTGCCTATACTTTGCAATAAATTCCAACTTGTGTAAATACTATGTATATTATAGTTTATTTGATACTTCAGTTTTAATGAGAATCATATGCTTACATGAAGTATTTTAGGCTAGCCTTTTCAAAATCTGAATATAGTGATTTAAAATGGTTTCTATAATTTTTCATGATTTAAGTTACATGAGTTGAGTATTTCCAGGCATATTGTGGTATTTATCCCAAAATATTTTTTTTCTTCCAAGCCTAGAATCAGTATATCTGTATCATTTTCTCTAACAAGTTGAATTTGTAGATAGAGTAAGAGGTGAAGGGTACAGGGGAAAGGGGGAGAGTGGGACTTCACCTTTTATAGTGTGAGCCTTTTGTCAAAGACGATTCTGAGGAGCAAAAGCATTTTTTTCTTTACCTTGAAAAGAAACTTTAAAAATTGATAAGACAAGGGATGGCAGAGACAGTAGAGGTGATTTATCATATGAACAAACACTGAGTGGATCATGTCATAATATAAATGGAGTGCCAAAGGACCACAAATGGCTTACTAGTTGCTCAGGGCTGGAAATGGTCAACTTTGTATAGGTAATTCTGGTGTTCATTAGATCTGTTTTCTTACCATATAGAGTGAACAAAAATGGGTGTGAATGAATGAGTAGATGCTTTAATGCAAAACTTTCCATCCCAGAGCATAATACACTATTCTGAAAGAAAAGTTTGCTGGGGTAGTGGGTTCTATTGATAAGAATTCACCAATTTTACCTACATGTAACAGATTTATCCTTACTAAAATGTTTGTTTGACATTGTGACATTACCATAACAATCCTATGTAAAGGATCTGACACTGTTCCCCCTTGTCTTGTTTGTACAGGCTTATGGAAAAGGGGCCAGAAGAAAAAATAGATTTAAAGGATCTGATGGAAGCACCTCATCTGACACTACCTCAAATAGTTTTGTCCGTCAGGTAAGATGCCTCTTTTGTGTTTTTAAAAAGCATTTGGAAAATATTGGTTGGTTAGTAATTGTTTTTCATTCTTGAAGAGGACCACAATGACTTCACCATGTTGGGGTCAAGGTACAATGTGTCTGACTGTGGCTGAAAATATATTGGCTAGGTTTTTAAAAAAATCTTTTTCCCTTGTCAGGATAGGCAGAGGAATTTGACATTGATGTGATTTGAAAGAAATACTGTTATAAACTTTTACAATTTCCTGTGTAGAAGTCCGTCAGAAGAGAATTATTACTAAGACCTTCTAGAAACATGTTGAAGAATGATTTCTAAGAAGTCTACTTCTTATGAGATGGTGTCAAAATGGGAAGATATGATTAATAGATATCCTGTTCTCTTCACTAACTGACGTCAAGTCAGAGATTTCTGTGTAAGAGTTTTCATATCCACAGCCGGTTGGCTAACATTTGATCCTTTTAAATTCTCTTCTTACTATTATGGACTTGCAATGAGAAATGAAAAAAAAAAACGTAAGAAAAGGGTGGACACTTTTCCCCCCTTAATCATGTGATCTCTGCGAGGGGAAGGCTGAATACAAAATACTAACATCTCTCATCTTTAAGAATAAAGTTCAACAGTTGCTGAATTTGTATATTTCCTGGTATAGATATTACCAATGTTTGTTTTCCCATGAAATAATTTTAGTTCAACTTTGTGTTCTTAGCAGCTAATGGTATGTATGTCTATAGTACCTTTGGGGGTTTTGCCCAGAATTGAAGAGTAAATTGTAAATAGAAAAGGCAAAAATTATGTAATGTAATGGTAGCTACATATTAGGAGAGCCAGCCCATTGGAGAATCCAGAAAAAAGGAAAAAATACAAAAGGTAAAAATCGTAAACTAGTTGTGTTGGAGATGGGAGTTCCATTAAACTTAATCTTCTTATAGCATTGAATTTAATATATCTCATGTTCATCTGGGACTCCATGTCATCATAAATTGACCTCATTTATAAGGGGTCCTATAGCATTGACCTTGAGGTGTATGTGCAACAAGGAAGGAAAATTAGATTCCTTCCTTGGCAAGCTTTACAGTATTTCTACAGCTTTCTAAGATAAAGTATTTCTCTCTATTTTTTTCCTAGTTAATCTTTATTCTGTCAGCACTGCTTTGACAAGCTACAGAACTGCTATGACAAAATGGAGAGTAATACCAAAGAAAGAGTTTTCTGACAGTATTTGCAAAATACATAATTGGCAGTAACAAAAAGCATCATTTGAGCTAATCAACCATTATTTTAGAGAATGTCTTTAAAATGTTATCCTTTTTTCTCCCAGTTTTCAGGAAATGGGCTTATCATGTGACTTTGCTTAACTTAGAGATCCCCATTAATCTTTACTATTTCATTGTGGTGAGGATAGAGCAGATACAAGTGCTGGTGTTGGTAGACATTTTCCTCAGCATCTCTGACTTCTAGTTTTTCCTCTAGGGGAAGGTGGGATAGAAAAAAAAAAGAAATTTATATGATAAGTTTATTATATATTTAAAAGGAATAGTTGTATATAATAGGTTTGCAATTTCATGTGCAAATTTCATCTCTTTATTATTCTATGTTATGGAAATGCTTGTTTTATTTCATAAATTAAAAATAAAATAAAATTTAAAAAAAACTAACAGGGATAAGGATAGGGGTAGTGGCTGGGCTTGTGACTTCCTTGGAATGGGGAACTCCCAGATGAGATCATTCCCTCTACCAATACAGGTTAGCACCTTCTTTGGAATTTATATTCTTAGAGGTTTGTTTAGGACAAAGATATCAAAAATACATATTGAGGGCTACATATGACCCACAGCATTCCAGAGGTCTGCCAGAACCATATTAAAATGTAATTGGGAAATATTTAACAAAATAAATAAAAATATAATAAAACATATATAATAATTGCATTTTAAAATGAAATCAACTGTGTGGCCAGCAGGGATCCTTATGTAAATATTAGAGGTCCCTGTTTCTGTGTGATTTTGATACCACTGGCCTAGGGCAGTTAGAGGTTAAGTGACTAGCCCCTGGGTTACCAGCCAGTGTAAGTCAGAGGTGACATTGAACCCAGTCTTCCTGGCTTTGAGGAGAGATAACTCTCCACTATGCACTGAGCCTCTCTAATATTAATCAACTTAAATTCATGAGGCCTGGTACCTAATCTTGGAAACCAGGAAGTCTTCTTTCTTAAAGGTAATACAATATCCTGATTTTAAAGTCTATTTGCTATTGTGTTTCAGTTGTTTTCAGTTGTGTCCGACTTTTTGTGACCCCATTTGGGGTTTTCTTGGCAAAGATCCTGGAGCAGTTTGCCATTTCTTTCTTCAGCTCATTTGGCAGATGAGGAAACTGAGGCAAACACAGTTAAGTGACCTGCTCAGGGCCACACAGCTAGTAAGTGTCTGAGGCCAGATTTGAACTCAGGAAGATGAGTCTTCCTGATTCTGAACCCAGTGCTCTATCCACTGTGCCACCTATTTGCCTATTTAGGAACCCTGAATTCCTGGGTGCTTCCACTTACACAGGTTTGAAGGTTATAGCAATGGAGAAGATACACATTCTAGATTGCAAAACTGTCATCATGACTGTATTTTTTTTTGTATTTTTCAATAAAATGGGTATATCTGAAATATATAAAATGTAATATATACTGTACTATAGAGACACACTTAGAGAAGGTAAATCCATATCTTCCTAAACTGAACTGTCCAGATATGGTTAGGGTTTCAATTTGTCCGTGATATTTGTTTATATGTGTACACATGCATAGCAAAACCACAGCATTATATACTCTTTAAAAAATTGGAAAGCTTTGTGAGACGATCTCACCATCCTTGGTGGTCTCTTTTGTACTCATGTTAATTCACTTAATTCAGCAAGGGCTTTACTGTAGCTATTTCTTAGTTACCATTAATTGAAATCCCTTTAAGTTAGAGTCTGAGATTATGCTCATCAAGACCTGGAAAGTGCTGTTTGAGTCTGATTGCATTTATTTTTTCTAAATTTCCATTTTAATATTTATATTCATATGTATGTGACATTTCAATTAAAGAGACCTGTAGAGAGGAAGCATTTCATCTCGAAGAGTGGCTACAGATGCTTGGTCTACTTTTAGGCTGGAAGCAGAAGGACCATTTCAGTGAAAGTAGTTTGTATTATTTGTGGTTATCAGTGAGGGTTTGATTTCATCAACAAGCCAACCTGGAATTAATGCATCATCAATCTTTTTTTTTTTTTTAAACTCAATGATAATTTTTAAAATAAGAGCACAGGGCCAGCTAATTGGATGGAACGCTGGTTCTTGAGTCAGAAGGAGTTCAAACCTGGCCTCAGACAATTATTATCTGTGTGAACCTGGGCAAGTCACTTAACCCCAACTGCCTCCAAAAAAATAAAATAAAAATAAGAGCACAGAATAGGGTCACAGATTCAGAACTGAAAGGGACTAAATATCACCCAGAGCAAGTCCCTCATTTAACAGATGAGGAAACTGAGGAAACAGATGAGGAAAAGAGACATTAACTTGCCCATTATTACACAGATTCTGGTGTCAGGGGTAGAATTGGAACCCAGATTTTCTGGACTCCAAGGTTATCATGACACCATGAAAAAATGACAACCTTTCTCCCAGCCTCTAAAATATCTACTTGGACTCTAGACTGGAGTTGCAGTGTAGGAACCAAATCTTATTCAGAGGTACTTAGCCACAAGAAGTGAGCACCTTATACGAACACATGTAGCATATTATATTGATTACGTACATGAATATGGATTATGAATGCATAACATGTTATATTCTTAATATTATATAATAATATTCATATTAGCGTAGTGACATCAGTCTACATTTTGTATTGTTGAGAAATCTTTACCTAGGATATATCATACAAGAGCAGAAAAGGTGGTCTTCATGGTATTAGAAGAATATTGAAGGGGAAGTTAGTTGTAGGTATTATATTTGTTTTGATGTTTCAAGTGTACACTTTTTCTCTCTCTCTTTTTTAACCATGTAGAAAAGTATTGTATGTGTCCCTGTCTTGAAGCTAGACTCCATATCTAGCTGATGTTTTATTTAAATCAATTTGTGTTTTGAGCTGTGGTTGAAGAAGCTTCCACCTTCCCTGGAATATCATGAGCATTATTGCCTACTTAGAGATCCAGATGTGCAAAACCTGAATAAAAATGCATGTGGTGCCAGAGGAAAGACATTGAGTAAATGGGAAAAAATAATAAATGCTTTATTAAACTATTATCTTTGGATGGAGAAGTCTGGCAGAAAGCTTGGCCAGAATCACTTTCCCTCTCACTGCCCCACTTGTCCTGTGTAAGCTTAAACTTGAGCTGGCTTTGAAATCCTGTCAATTCTTCTTGGCATTTGACTCAGTCCATCCTCATGTGGGTTTCTGTACTTGGATAATCCATAGGGTTGAGAAGATGAAGAGTAACATTTACATCCCTGGTTTCAGGTTAGGTCCAGCATGGGAGAGTACGTAGAGAGAGCTGTCTTCAAAGCCAGGAAGACCCGTTTTCAAGTCCCAACTCTTACATATAGTGACTGTGGGACCCTGGAAAGGTCATTTAATCTTTTTAGTGACATCTCTAAGACTAGAGTTGGAGATAAGATATTGACCTGTTTTGCTGAAGGGAGTTTTCTCATTTGGGAATCCTATATATCAGTAAAATCACAGGTCCACTCCCTATTCCTATTGACCTTGTACCAACAATTTTAGGCACTCAGAGCCACCATTTAGTGAATAATTGATTCCACTGCTTGATGATCAGATAGAATTAAATGTGACTTCTTAACACTCTCAATTCACCTGATGGTACAGCTTAATCTTTATGAGAAGGGAGCTGTCCTTTAACATGCCACACATGTAATAAGCATGCTGATAATATACCTTTGAGTAATATTCACATGGAACCGTGATTGTCTTGAATCTATCACTATCATATTGTCAAATGTTCAGTGATTT